TCCGAACCTCCCTCCCGCTTCTTCTGAACCTCCCTCCCCCTTGTTGACGACCCTCCCTCCACCATGTTCCGAATCTCCTTCCCCCTTCTTCCCGACCTTCCTCCCCCTTCTTCCCAACCACCCTTATGCTTCTTCTGAACGTACCTCGTCCACGTTCCGAATAATCCAAACATCCAAACCTAAAGAAGTACATAATGTGCTCAAAACTTTGCAAATGTACGAAAACGAACCATGATTCCTGAAGCAAAGGAATGAACGTAAAACGAACCAAGATTCTGAAAGCGAAGGAATGAACGAATCCGAAGTTCCGAAGGAATTGGTTCCAAAGGTGAACAACTACATACTCTTATAAAAAAATTGCAAACGAATGAAAAGTTTTGAAAACGAACCATGATTCTCTTCTCATACAATCAAAGACGAAATGAGAACATTGTCGTGTAAAACGACAAATCAAGCTAATGAAAGGGTGAGGTTCGAGAATAGAGGGAGGGAAGTTTGAAATACGGGAGGGAATCCGATTGAAGTTCATGAACATCGATCGGATTCCCCCCCCTATTTCAAACCTCCCTCTCCGTTCTTTCAGACCTCCCTCCTTCCGAACCTCCCTCCCCTTCGTTTTTCGAGCCTCCTTACCCCTTCTTCTAAACCTCCTAACCCCTTCTTCCGAACCTCCCTCCCATGCTCCGAAGATTTCAAACATCCGAACGTGAAGACGTCCATGATGTTGTCAAGACTTTGCAAATGAATCATAAAGATCCAAAACGAACCCACCAATCTTCGTTCACAACATCACAATGGAATAGAAAAGATTTGAAGTTCAAACCCTACTCCTTCTTCCCAATCCGAATCTCCCTCCCCTTGTTCCGGACCTCCCCCCTCTCGTTGTTAAGAACCTCCCCTTGTTATGAACCTCCCACCTCTGCTGTTAAGAACCTCCCCCCTCTCGTCATTCCGAACCTCCCCTTGTTTCCAGCCTCCCCCGTCTTGTTGTTCCGAACCACAACTCTCCGCTATGGAATGAAAATCGAAGATATGGCAATGCATCTTTCCATTTCTAGCGGAAGCAGGGGAGTGATGCCCGAAACACCGAATGGAACCATTATGTTAAAACGAAGTCTCTCTCTCTCTCTCTCTCTCTCTCTCTCTCTCTCTCTCTCTCTCTCTCTCCCCCCTACCCCCCCGCCCGCTAATGCGTGCCAGTACCACCCTTGTTGTGCGCCACTCACACCTGACGAAGCGCAACAAGTCATTACGACTCTTTTTCTCTCCGTGTGTGTGTGCGTGCTCGCCAACGCCCGCCAGTCCCCTCCTTATGTGCGCCACTCACACCTGATTAAGTGCTGCAAGTCGTGGGCAACAGTCACGGCAACTCTCTTTCTGTGTGTGGGTGGGTGTGGGTGTGGGTGTGCGTGTGTGTGTTGGCCGATAGCAAATGGAAGGGCAGACGGTGGGGCGGGCGGCAAATTACGAAGTTTGCCTGGACCCGCCAACGGTCTGCACGACTCGGCACAGTGAGAGCGGGAAGTAAGAAAAGGGCTGGTCTATGAAGTTTGCCTGGACCCGCCAACAGTCTGCTCAACTCTGCACAGTGAGAGCGGGAAGTAAGAAAGGGGCCGGTCCCGCCACCCTGTACAACGGATACCGGCCCCAGAAATCCACGAAACATTTTTTGGGGGGTGCCTTGGACCCGAGGAATAGGTCCAGGGTGCCTCCCCTTTTTTTTTATTTTTGGGGTTTTGGCCCCCTCCGAACGGGCCTCCTACGGTTCGGCATCCAAATACCGGACCCCAAACCGTCTGGATCCGCGTCTGGATGTCTGCATGGTAGCCATAATATTCTCCTTTACTTTCTTTATGTCTTCCTCATATAAAACTGCAAATTCTCGTGTTCCTGGGGGTAACCGTTGGCCTTGGTCCCGAGTTAAATCACTAGTACCTTTGCCGCTTGGAAAATAGCGGTACTCCGGTGGGCCTCCGACCATTTCGGAGGCCGAAACGAAACGACGGTCGCCGATCAGATTTATCAATGGCAGTCGTCGTCCGGCCCGACCTCCAAAAATTCAGGCGATTGGGAAAACAGCCAGTTTTCCCTATTTTCCCACGCATCAATGGGACGTCTCGACTTCCAACCCTTCTAAAATGCATTCGGTGTTCGGCCTGTGATTATATGAACATTGTTAGGGCATACTCAGGGGTCCGATTCTCAAAGTCGCAAAATCTTATGATGTTTTGCAGTCACACTTCCCCCCCAACCCCAACAAAATCACAAACAGTGTAGCATTTGTCAGCGGCCTGGTGGGCCGCGGGGTCCTCACAAATTCGCATTTGATTTTCATTATAAAAAAAAACTCCACAGGCCAGAAAACGCAACTTCGTGCCCACTACAATCCAAAATTGCTATGTTCGGTTGCCAATGGGACAGTCATACAGCGCCTGTCTCATTTTTGGCGTAATGCACAACAGAATGCCCGGGTGTAACGGGTTTGTCCGTAGTGGCAGAGTCCCTTCCGCCCCCAGGCGAGTTCCATACCCGCTTGCGCTGCTCTTCCGCCCTCCTCCGCAGTTTCTTCCCTCGTTCCCGATTGCGAATAGTCTTGCCCTCCGCAAGATTAGTCAGGCCCTCCGCAAGAATAGATGCAGATTCTGTTGCCCTCCACGTGGTTTCAGGGCTTGAACAAGCACATGTATGCGGGCAGGTGCAGAGAACCGTGCTGCGAGCTCTTTTTCTACCAGGGCTTGAACGAGCACGTGTATGAGGGCAGGTGCAAAGAACCGTGCTGCCAACTCTTTTTCTGCCTCTCAACACATGGTAACGTGGATTCGAGTGCTCGGCCGATCGGAGCGGTACCACAGTGGCCACTGCCAGGTGAACCCTTCAAAGTCATGGCCGTGCA